CTAGAAACCATTCGGCCCAAACTCACCGACCGCAATATTAAAACCAAGCTCACCAAACTATCCAACCTACTTTTTCGCATCATGCCCTTATACAATACTGCCTAATCAATCCACTCAACGCCCACAGCAAAATCACTAGTTTAACAACCCACTACTATTACCCTCATCATAATGACCAATATTATACAATGGAATCTATATGGCTTCTATAAACGAAGCACCGATTTACAACGAATCCTTTTCAACTTACAATCCAGCATACTACGTCTCCAGGAAACCAATCTCAAAATGAGACAAACTGCACACGTAAAAAACTATACCAACTATTGCAGAAACCATGTAAATCCTATCAGACCGAGTGGCGGCGTTGCTATACTCGTAAAAGATAACATTGAAAACAACCAAGTCAATCTCCAAATACATCTCGAAGCCATAGCAGTAACAATAAAACTCCAAATCCAAATATGCGTATGCAATATACACATCTATCGCACTAACACTATTTCCCTATATTATTTTAAAAAATAAATCAAATTTAATGAATTTAACATATTTAAAAAACAAATTTATAATTATTTAACATAATTAAAAGATACAATTAAAACATAGTCAAACGATAGACTTAATTAACAAATGTGAACAAAAGAATTATAAAAAGTGTTGCATATAATTCGATTTTTAAATTTTACAACTGTTTGTGATAATAGAAATATCAGTAAAGTCAATCACATTCCTTCTCAATGAAAACATCCCATAGCTCTCCCCTAATATTTTATGGTAAATCAAAAAAAAAAAAAATGAATGTAATTAATAAGTTTTAAAAACACATTCAAAGCATATATTGTACAAAGAAAATAATTTACATTAAGGCTAAAACATACTGGGTTTACTATTATCCTTATAATATCACATAAGTTTTAATTTATATTCATTTCCTTTCATCCAAGTGTAAAAACTGATACTATAAGATTTATTTATACAAACCGAAAATATAACATTCAACATATATAATTGAAAGAATGAGTTGAAAAATGCATGGCATACCATGTTTTCTTTAGTTTATAGTTGTGTTTGTTTTTATTAGTTAATCATTAGTACCGAAGTAGTAACTGCATTATTCCTTAACAAAGAAAATGTTTAATGAAAACATACAACAGACATCTCCCTATATAACGTGGAAATATAAATCAAATCGCATGTATTTAAAACAAATATATAATAATATAACATGATTTAAAGACGCAATATCAATGAAAACATCCAATAGATATCTTCTAATATTTTTTAGTAAAACATATAAAAATAAATGTGTAATTAATAAATATATTAAAAACACATTTAAAGCATATAGTACGTAGGAGGTAAAAATCACAATTGATTCACAGTCGAACGATGGACTTAATAAACATATGCGTCAACAATAGAATTATAAAAAGTATTGCATATAATTTGATTTTTAATTTTTATAACTGTTTGAAGTAATAAAAAAATGATTTACAAAAAAATACTATAAGACTCATTTACTAAAACAAATATATTATTTTAAAATATAATACATACCATGTTTACTTCATTATTTTATAGCTGTGTGTGCATTTTATAATATCATTACAGCATTTCACATCAAATCAATCTGGTAAACAAAATATATTTTATATATTGTATTAATATGTAATATAATATATTACATACATTGCAGGTGTATGTAATGAAAACATCCGATTACCTATATCTCCTCATATTTCTCGGTAAAACAAAAGCTCTGTTCTAATATATTTTGGAAAAACGAATAGTAATTAATGTAAAATGTAATGTAGTACGAAAAAGATAATTTACAAAAAAGGTAGAGAACCAACATACTCGGTACATTTATTTCATAACGAATTGGAAAAATAAATCAATTTGAATGTATTTAACGTGTTTAAAAAAAAACAAATTTCCAATCATTTAACGTAATATAAAGACACGATTAAATCGTAGTCGAACGATAGACCTAATAAACATAGGCGTGAACAACAGAATTCTAAAAAGTATTGTATACATACTTTTTATATCCGATTGTGTTTATAAAAATATCATTGACGTCAATCACGTTGCTTTTTATTTTTTGGTAAGACGAATAAAAATTTATGTAATCAACAAATTTTAAAAACATGTACAGTGGAAAGAAAAAAGGTAGAACTCACCGGGTTTTCTTATTTACATTACATCGCAAAAGTTTTGATTTCCTTTCGTCCAAGTGTAACGACTGATGTTGTAACACTCATAACTAAAACCGAAAAAAATAACATTCAATAAGCGGTGGAACGAAAAAGTTTCAAAATGTAATAAATACCGAGTACTCGTTGTTTTACAGCTGTGAACGTTTTGAACAGTATCGTTAGCACCGAAGACCGTTTGAATTCAATTCCTTTCCGTTCAAAAAAAGTATAAATAAATCAAACAACAGCTATCTCCCTATATCGTTTGGCAAAACAAATCGTATCGAACGTACTTAACGCTGATAAAAAAAACATACTATATTTTAAACGCATTATGTTTTCTTCGTTTCACAGCCGTGTGTAAGCGTTCAACAATAACGTTACACATCAAATCGACACGAGTAAAGAAAAACGGATAAATAATTTTCGGTAAAACGAAAAAGAAAAAAACGGACTTGACGGACGGCGGAAAATGAATAGAAAAGAAACACCGCGAGCGGGATCAACACACTCCCGTCGATAAGACACGGCCGCGGTGGTTGATAACAAACGGCGGCGGCGGCGAAAATCGGACGCGACGGACGGAAAACAAAAAAACGGATTCCGCGGGAGCGGAAACGACGCCCCGTACGGATCGACGGCGGCAGCGGAAAATCCTGCAAAGAAGCCGGGCGGCGACGGCTCGGAATCGAACCTGGGGACCTACGGGGGAACCACCTATCGGGACCTATGCCTACGACCTGCCTACCTATCGAGTTGGGAACCGTGAGAAAGATTCGGGCATTTAAACCGTTCGACGGGGACGTAAGGTGAAACGGAAGACCGATCGGTGACGTCACGTGCGGGCGAAACGTCACGGCGGCGCGAGGGGCACAGGTACAGAACGCTCCGATTGGGCTGGTGCTTAATGGTCGGACATCTTGGATTTTCATCCGGTCGCATCGGGAAAACGGTGGGTCGGAAAATCGAACGGACCGCCGAAATGGAAAGAGGAGACAAGTCTACGGGAAACGGTCGACGGGGAAAGGAAAAAGCGTCCGCGGGATTTAAAAGTTTTTCCGACCAATCACCGGTCGGGGAATTATTTTAATATAATAGATACTTGAGTAATGAGTATTATTTAAAAACATAAAATAAGAGTATATATATTATTATTATTAGTAGCTATATTATTTCGTTTTTTTTTCTCGGACAATAATATATTTTATTATAAATTAGTTTGAACTACTTACTTTCTGAATTATCAATAATAAGTGATGGAGATGATTCTGTATTAATTTTAACAACATATTTATTTAAATTTCCACGTAACTTTTTAATTTCTTCTTCTTTTTTTTCTTTTAATTTTCTTTTGGCGGAGCTACTTAGATATTTTTTTGGTAACATTTTATATAAAATAAAATAATATAATATGTCGCTCGTTGAATTCATAAATCGCAACTGTACGTCTGTACATTTGTATTATTTGTCGACCACCACAAATTACGAGTAATGTACTCGTAATAAAAATATATATATTATGTACAATGTTATCGGCGTTACCGCGCATGGCTATAATGCGAGCTGTGTATTTATTATTATTTTTACCACAAAACAATATAAAATGTTGTGACTATAGTTATCATATTACGGGAAAAAGGTTGTATTATTATTCAGTTTATAAATAATACCATACGAATATTTCTAAGCTTATAGTCTATAGCCAAAAATACAAACTACTGGTTTCTTAATTCTTGTACTATTATATAAACTATCATTGTATTTTTGTTTTATGTATATATTTTATTATGTCATTTGTCTTGTTATTATGTCTTAGACAAAAACAATAAAAAAAAAAATTTTATTTCGACAAAATAATATATTACAAAGTTAGTCACCAGTGGGCCCCTTGGCCACGTAGGCCCAGGACAAATGTCTATTTTGTCCTTGCGTAAATATTGCCCTGCCTCTACAGATCCGAAGAAACAAAGAAATTTTAAAATATGTGACAAAAAAAAAAAAAACCTTGAATATCACATGGCATCACAAGTATTCACAAGTACTCACACAATCATTAAAACAAACTTCAATGACATCTTACACACTGATTTTCAAGATTTTAATCATATCTACACCGCTTTTTCTAAAACCAATGTCGAAGTAGGATTCGCTTACTCCTCAAGCCACTCCTCAAAACGATTTAAGCTCCTCCCTGAAGCCAGTATATTCACAGCGGAAACCCAAGCTATTAAAGAAGCCATAATGTTCGGAAAGTCAACATTATCAAATAAAATCTTAATAATCAGCGACGCCCTAAGCGCTCTTCTAGCCATCGAAGCACAGAACCCCTCTAATGAGATAATTTATCAAATACATAACATCATCACATCGACCCATAAAGTAATCGAATTCATGTGGGTTCCCTCACATACGGGCATCCCTGGAAACGAAAAAGTGGATATACTAGCAAACGAGGTACACCTCGTCCTCATCCTCAACCATTACCTCACTTCCATACCAAGACGTTAAAAGATGTATAAATATACACACTTCCAATATATGGCAATCATCCTGGGACGAAATACCAATCACCAATAAGCTAAAATCGATTAAAAAGAAAATGGTACACTCAGCCTAATGCCTCTAGACGATCCGAAATCATCAATACCAGAACAAGAATCGGTCTTACCAACCTCACCTACATACACATCATAAAAAATGAAGAACAACCTCTCTGTAGCCAATTTAACGAACCGCTCTCAATCAAACATATAGTCCTAGACTGCCCGTTAAATGCCAACGCAAGAAACATCCTCAACCAACCTTCAACGATGGAGGAAGCACTAGGAGACCACAACACGCACTTGATCCACACCTTCTTCAAATCCATCGGCATCGACACAAAAATTTAATGTTAAGATAAAACTACACAACTAAAAATATTATGTAAATATACAATATTACTGTAAAATCCACTTATACCATAACTGTATTGTAATCTTAATTTAGAACTTAATTATTCATCAATGTTAATGTACCATAACCACAGGCTAATGACCTAGTAGTAGCTGTTGAAGCCTTTAATATCAATAAAAAAAAAAAAAATTTTTACATTGACAGGGAACATAATAATATGTATAAGCTATATATCATAATTCATTATTAAAACCAAATTATTATTACTATTAATAGTAATGTTAAACTATTTTATCTATTTACAAATTACATTATTATGAAATATACCTTACACAAAGATTTTCTTTTCGTTTCCAATAAACGAGGTGCATTTGGTATATCAAATAATGTTGGTAAAGCATTTGATTTTAGTTTTTTTTACACCATCCAGACGATGTTCGAATTGACCTTCTTCGAAATGGATCTATTGGAATATGCAAAAAATATAAAATAATAAATAATAACTATGTTCTAAAGAAAGCGACAAAAAATATTAACATGACTAAATTGTATAAATACATTATGAATAAGGCTTCTTAAGTTTAATCTAATACTAATCTAATACTTACTTCACGCAACTCAAATGAATTTTAAGGTTGCCATTTGTCACGGCGACAATTTTGTAACCAAGTTTTTTGTCTTTTAGGGTCTCTTGGAAACCGAAAAAGTTGAAAACCTTCACTACGTATATTGGAACAGTTTACCGTTGTACAACCACCCATTTCTTGTAGAATTTTATAGTTTCACACACAATATATAAATTAAAATAATACTCGTATAATAAGACGTTCAGCTGAATGGGCTGAATCTGTTATCACTATGTATCAATTGTCGCAAAATATCGATTTGATAAAAAAACCGAAACCAACGATATCGGCCTAGTACTATCGGTTCTAGTATCGGCCCATCCCTAAGAAATATACACACATGGTAAAACCAATATATTAATTTTAATATGTATATTTTGTATATTTAATTGCATTGCAACATCCCCGTACAACCAGGGCCATTGTCGCATGACGGACCCATTTACTACGTAGTGCTGTATTTAGACATTTTGCGCACTGGCGCAAAAAAAAAAATTGGCACCCCTCTAAGGGGCCTGCCCAAGGCCGGATTAAGCACCTAATGGGCCCCGGGGCTGAAATTTTTTATGGACCCTTTTGAAAAATCATGCTTTACAAAGCTAAATAAATAACTCATGTTCATTGACATTATCACTACAAATTTGGGAACTAATATTAGGTATATTAATAATATTCTGGATCGCTGATAGCTATATTGTTATAAATACATTAATAATATATGTTAATAAATTAAATACATTAATTTATGATACTGTTATTAAAAACAAAAGTAATAATGATTTCAAAATAATTTTAAAAGTTCAATAATTCACAAATGAACAAATTTCCGACCACAAAATTTTGGTGTCCCGAAAAAACTGGCACCTGGGGCAGTTGTAGCCAGTGCTCCCCTTAAATATGGCCCTGACTACGTCCGTGGAAGGATCACCAACCTATGGCCGAAGTACGTGACCAGAGCACATAGGATTTTTATTTTTACTTAAAAACTAATAAGGAAGTAATTATAAAATGAAATATTAAAATAAAAACATGCATGAGTTAATAAAACTATGTTAATTTATCATGATCGTTATTTTATATTGTAAAAAAACGTTCATTGATTGCCACCCCAGTCATATTAAATAAATACATTACTAATATGTGCGATATTCACACACGTTTTTTCTGGTTAAATTTGCCCCAGCGACGACTTATGTCGCGGGTATGATGGTGGTTTTTTACTCCATAGCCGGACTTATTGACATTTTTTTTTAAAAAACACAAATACAAACTTATAAAACAATATGGCTTATTAAGTAACCAACGTGTGTCCGTGATCATTTACAAACACCGACTCACTCGGTCTCTTCCATCATCGGTCGCTCTTAAGTTTGTACTGTTATACCTCAATACGCAGAAGTCGGAGGGGTAGTGGTTCTGACGATAACGACTACCCACACCAGTCTGTGGCTCGATATGGCCTAGTACAGGTATAACGAGATAATCATGATCTGTGACATTACAGCACATTTGGTGAATTTTTAGAACTACAAGTCCTCTGCCCTACACATAACTATTGGATAATGTATACAGAATGTTAATAATCTGAATGTCTACAATATTATTTTTAATTAGCTTCAGATTTGTAAGGTTATCGATATTAATATTGTCATTATGTTTAATCATGCATAATAAAAATAAAATAAAATCATTATAATAAGTAAGGATTTAGTAAATAGCAGTAAAAGCTCATTTTTATTAGTAATTGAAAGACATTTTCAATTTAATTTTATTAAAAATATACATATAATTTAAACATAAAACAAAAAATATATTAATATAATAAATAAAACTGCTATATACATTTAATACAGAATATTTTGCATTATATGCCATCGATCTGCTGTAGTCCATGTCCCGGGAAGCAGTATTAGGTTCTTACATAAATATATATATATTAAATTATTCCTTTAAGTATTAATATTCTACTTACAACAGTATCAAGGTAACATGGGTAGGTTTATAAAATAAAAAATTGGAGATTTACATTATTACAAAATGTTTTATTATTTTTAGAGAGCCAAGACTATTCACTATACTTTCAATAAATTAAAAGATTCATACTCTCAAAATATTAAACTAAGTGAATACCTGTCTATGTTGTCATTTCATTGCATGAATTGTGTACAAACTAAATATTATAGTATTAATCAGACTGATTTTGATTCTTCAGTACTCATATTTTTTAAATTACAACTCTCTTGCTTAGATTTACCAGCTTGTCGAAATCTTTCAAGTATCATTGCTTCATAATCCAAAAATGCCTAAAATGTTTAAAATTGATTGTAATAAAAATAATTTAAATAATCCTCAAAATGATACCTGTGAAGTTGATTTAAATTTGGTATTTTTGGTTTCATTATCATTTTTATTTTGATAAGTCATATTGCTTGACTTTGATGCAGAAGTCTGATTAGAACTTTTCTTAGTATCTTGACCATAATCTCCAATAAAGCTTACTGTTAGTGGACAATGTGGATAACCAACTTCTAAATTTTTGGCATTAATCTAGTAAAAAAAAAAAAATTCATAGTATAATTTTAAGTGAAATTTCTCCTTTGATTAATTTATAATATAAAATATAGATAATTTTTTTTCATTTTGTATAGAAATTGGTTAACTTAAGTTAAAAATACTTACAGCTGAATTTTTTGTATTGTATTCGATTAGTGCAACACATTTTTTACTCTCCAAAACTACTACAGTAATCACATCGCCGTACTAAAATTTTGCAAAAATAATCAAGTAATAAAATACCAAAAATAAAATCATGAAAAATCACCTTAGAAAACAGAGATCTTAAATTATCTTTATCATACACTTCATTTTCTATCCATTTTACTTTTAATTTATATGAACCATTCATTTCTTTCTCAGTTTCTTGCTGCTTAAGCAACTCATTAACACGAGCTCTTTCTTTGGCAAGTAAATCTGAACTTTCTCTTCTTAAGCGTTCTAATTCTTTCTATGAAATAATATTAAAATTAATAAATAAAATTAGAAAGAAAAAAGTAAACAAACCTCAAAATTTCGTTCAACTGTATCTTTTTGTTTTTCTAATGCTCCTTTTTCCCTTCTAGCCAGATCATCTATAAGTTTCTTTCGCTTCGAATCATATTCTTTTTCCCGTAATTTTGCAGCAAGCTTAGCATTTATTAACTTGTCATAAGCACTCTTTAAATAAATACCAATGTTAAATATTTAAAATCATACATAATTGGTTCATATAAAATCAACAAATCTTACACGAGCAGCAGTGTCTGTCAGAACAGCTAATATTTTAGATAACTGCAAAAACAATTGTGCTGCTTTTGGATTATCAGGGTTTTTATCTGGATGAAATTGTAGAGCTTTCTTTCTATACGCTGTTTTAACCTGATGAAAACAAAAAAAATATTGATTTGTTTTTGAATTGTAGAAGAATAATTAAAAACTATTGACTTGCCTCCTTTTCAGTAGCTGATTGTTGGATCTCAAGTATTTCATAAAGATCTAAATCTTTCAGTTCTGAATCCATTATAAGTTATTATAAAATGCAGTATGAAAATCAATGAATCCTAAAAGCGGATAAGAACTTTAAATTTCAAAATCCCAATGTTGATCATGGTGTGTAATACGGTTATCATAGTTATTGTTCTTATATTTTTTGTTATCAGTTGACAGTTATCTTTCCGGTGTAAATAAATCACAGCTATATAAAAATACAAATAGATAGTATTTTTATATATTTGTGAAATAAATAATAAAATCGATTTCATTAGAAAATTTAAATTCAGAGTTCTTACTATATTGAGTTAGTCTACCACAAACATGATGAATTCTGGCATTCCGATTTTTCCAACTATGATCCCAAATACTGTGAATCAATTATGGTTCAGTGTTGATGAGCCCAAAAACGAAGAAACAGAACTTATACAAATCGAAAGTATACACCAAAACTGGGTAAGATTAACAGTAATATTACCATCACTTGATTTGACAAATGTGCGCGAAGTAAGTTACCTGTGTAATTAATAACCATATTTTTCCAGTTACTCACAGTAGTAAACAAACTTAACGACAAAGACTTTCCAGTACCAATTGGCAAAACTGCTACTGAAGTAATGTATCTAGTTGTTGATGAGTAATTATTATTAGTATATAATTTTTTTTATTGTTTTTTCTTTAGTATATGAATATAATATATACTAAAATATACTGAGAGATTTACCACTAACTTACTGTCTGTGATATTTAGTTAAGTTTTTAATGAAATTTTTTTTTAAATTTATACAATTTTATTTTTCCTATAACAATTATTAAAAATTATGGGTTAGAATCCCAGACTGAATCCTTGTTCTGAAAACATATTAAAATAAGGAAACATTAATATTTTCAGTACATTTTAAATTAATATTTACTAAATTAAAATTTTTTTCTATTTACTGTTAATTTATTGATGGAAAGATTTTTTATATTGTACGTGCTTAAATGATTTATCTATAAAATCCATTCCATGCACAATACAGAGTATAATACCAAATTATTTTTTGTAAATTCATTGAAATATTTGAATAAGGTACAAGAAGAAGATGATGAAGAAGATGAAGAGGAAGAAGTCAATCATTCCGATGATAGTGAAACCCATGATGAGGAAGATGACGATGTTGAAATGGACGTCTCCAATACTTTTGATCAAGATTCTCCAATTTCTGTTTCTACTAGATAATTAATAACAACTATAATTTTCACGGACACTGATATAAATCATTACATTGTATTGTGTACCTTTTTTGCATTATACCATGTACTAACTGAACATTGTAATTTTAACATGATTAATTACCATCAATAATCTTAATGTGTACATATATTTGTAATTAACTATAGTAAATTTACCCATACTCATAAATATATTATAGATGTTTTAAAAATTACTCCAATTGCAGTTATTCATAATATTTGATTAATGGTAATAACCTTTGAGTAATAAATAGCAATTATAAATTATTATAATTACTTATCGTTTAACAGATAAGGTAAATTTATCATGGTGCCTTCAGTTAAGGAGATACCTGTTAAAGTTTCACTAAGCATTGACTTTGATCGAACCATAGATAATAAAGAATGGATAGGCCATTGCTATATTAATCGAATAGAGGGAAGTGTGCCGGAATGGGAAAGAGAGAAAGACAGATTTTATCAATGCCTCTCATTCTAGCAGAGGTCTTATCAAAAATTAAATTTTGTAATTATTATCATTGCTGGACGCATAGATAATAGATATTGGAGATTATAAATTATAATAAAAATATTAATACATAATATTAAATATTATTATTTATTATAAATGCATGGGCGTCCCCAGGAGAGGGGGGGCAAGACGGGGCACTTGCCCCCCCTGGAATAATGTTATTTCCACAGAAATTGGTAAAATTCCAAATGATAAATTAGTTTCTAAAAATAGGTCTACTGTTTCCATAACATATGTCAACGCACGGCTGAAGGCTATCTATGAAAACTATCATTAATAATAATGGGACTATTTTATCTTAATGTATTTTTTGAGTGATGTTTTAATTGTACATTATAAATAAATGTCAGTAATGTTTTAATTCATAATTTTAATAATGACGAAAAATAATAATTTACTATAAATAAAATGTATAAAAAAATTTTCATTTATTTTTTAAATTAATTTTGCCCCCCTAGAAAAATGTCTGGGGATGCCCATGTATAAATGTATATTGTATAATAATATAAAATATAATTGTAGTAATTGTACCTGTTGGCTGTTACCTATATTGTTATTATTTATTTCATCATTTGACTTATTTACTTCTAAGTCATAATTGAATATTTATATTACACTCAGAAAAATATTTACTAATATCAATGAAAAAGGTATATAATACTAAGGAAAAACGGGTATGATTTGGAGCCTATGATATCGATTCATAGAAATATAGCATAATATAATATTATATTAAAGCTAAATAAATTTCATTAAACCAATGTTTTATTTCATTGATTATAATTCTGTAATCCATAAATTTAATTACTCAGAGATTAAATTAATGAAAATTATGTGCATTAATTTAAAGATAAAAAAAAGTCAAATAGTATTTAATTTAAAGAAAAATGTCTTTAAATTGATTTCTCAACAAATTTAAAAAAAAGGAAACTCTTGCATTGATTGTATGTTATAATTTCTTATTTTTAAAGAGTATTGGGATTAAATTAATTTGATTTATATATAAACAAATAATGAACTGTAAGCATTGCTTTTATGCTATTTATCCTTATTTTAAAACAATTCTTGGTTTTAAAACAAATTTTTTTTTTTTCATAAAAACTATGATTTCTTTGAAAATTATAATAAAAAATTATACAGTTGATATAAATAACACTTTATCATTTTACTATAAGTAGAATCTTTTTTATTGTTTGAAAGTACATATGATTTCCTAATACAATTTATGAACAAGAAAAATATAGTATATAATGTTATAAATAATATAAATATATATAGTGTTATCAAAATTATATATTGATCAAATATATATAGATCAAAGCTGTGTTTATCAAAAAATTAAAAAATAATACATAGGTTCCTTATAATTTAGGATTAGATTAAACATCAGTTAAATAAAAATGTACATAAGTTTATATAAAAAATACTGTTGTATGTATAACTTATACTATAAGTTATAACATAAATCAAATTATATGTATTTTAATAAATATTCTATGTAAAGTAATGTTTGACCCGTATTACCGTGTCTTTATTATTTAGATGATATAAATGAATTGGAGGACCCATGAAATATGTATTACTTTTCAAAACATATAGACCAGTATCAACATTTGAGACAATATAACTTACAAAATGTTTGTTATAAGACAGTACATTTAGAGTATGACATAAAAAAAACACTTTATCATCAGAACATATAATTTTTTTTAATTTATATACTAATATATTATTGTCAAATAAAGCTGTTAATATATGATTGATTTTATACACTGTGTTGTTATATACAATTTGATCATAACAAAGAGCCTGATCAAGTGTCGTCAAATCATTAGATGAAAACAAAATTTTAATTTTTTCAAAATATTCACATGAACTCAACGAAGAGCCTAAATTTTTCGAAATACAAGAACTATAACTTAAATTTAAAATTAAATCAGAAAAATTAATGGAATATTTTATACCTAACGAAATAGGAATATGAACTCTTGAAGTTATGTTTTTCGTGTATGTTTTAAGTTGTCTATGCTTAGACTCAAATCTATAACTCCATAAATATTTTAAGGGCCCTGACTTTTTTATTATATTACAATAGTGGATAAGAAAGTGATGTTTTGGCTTTAATGAATCTTGAAATAACTCAGTATATTTATTATTATGATACGTGATATGTTTTTCTAAATTCAAAATAATTTGATTATTGAATTTTGGCAACAACAATAAATCAATCATCTCAATAAGATTGATCAAAAACAACCAAATTTGATTATTTTTAGGGACCAAGTCTCCTACTAGAAGTGGAAAAAAATGAATAAATGTCTGCATTTCCCTTGAAGACATTTTTAATTTCAAAGTATTCATTTTAATTTGCTTTATAGGAGGGGACATGTTTCCAATTTCAGTGTCGCCATAATTAAATCCTTGTTTTCTACTATTTAATGTTTCCAAACTAAAAAAACCCAAATTAATTAAATGACATATGATATGATTCATATTGTACACACAAATTCCCTCATAAATATCATGCATTATGTCCACTGCATAGTTTTTAACAACATGGAAGGAATGTATTTTGTTAAATATAGATTCTTCATATATACCAGTAATTTTACAATTATTAATCTTAATATGTTCATCATAATTTTGTTTATTACGTAGTAAGTTAATACTTTCATTGGTAAGTTCTTGCGTACTTTTTTTGTCAGAAATACAAAAACGACAAAAATAATTAGATGAAAATGACCTTGCAAATCCTAAAATACTATTTACTCCAAGGTTATCCCCCACAACTAGACCCAACAGAAATTTAATCTTAAATTGTTTTCCATCATTTACTATTATATTTATTCCATGATTTTGTAATTCATTAATTTCATCAACTAAAAAATAAAAACATTTATCATTTCCAATCAATTTTACATCTTTCGAGTTAAATAAGGCAGCTACAAAAATATTATTTAAATTTGATTTTAGAGCTTCAGGAGCAGTTGGAAATGAATAATAAACACCTAAAACTGATGATGAATGTGAACCCAACGAGTTGTTCACCTCAAAGTCATCAAAATATAAGAAGTAGGGTATATAAATGACACCGTCCTCATTGAACAACAACATTTTATCTTTCCATAGTTGACTATTAATGAAATTTGTAAACCCATTTTCATTTTTCATTAAATCTTGATTTTTAATGTAAGAATCTAAAATACCTGGTGCCTCAAAGTATTTTCTAAATTGAAATTTTAATGGTAGGATAACTCCTTTGACTTTTTTTTCATCTACAGTGTTAATGTTATTCATTCGCACATCATCTATGGTGTTATCCAAAGTAATAATTTTAGGCTTTTCATAATAATCATTAATTTCCAATGATTTAAGAAATTTGAACTCGGTATCTAGTCCTACAAATGGATTTTCACAGAAATTAATGATGGATTTAAGTGCATTTTTTTGTATAGTGTTATTGTCAAGAATTAATTTCTTTAATTCATGAGCGATGGAAGTGGTTATTATGTTTGTTACATTTTTTTGAAGTTGGATAGCCTCTTTCCTGGAAAAATTAAATTTTCCATAGTAATGGGCAGAAAATTTTATTGCACATTTTTCTAAACCATCAATATCAACATAATTAGCACAAGGTTCATGTGTTAAAGTGACCATTTCTATATTTGTGTTAGCGTTATTTGCAATTTTAGTTGAGGAATTATTATTATTTTTAAAATTATGATTAGAATTTATATTATTTAACATTTCACATTTCATATGTTTAGAAAATGTACGATAAGCCGAAAAAGTTTGTGAACAATACGATATACCACAGCGATAAAAACTCGATGATGATAATGAATGAACATACTTTAAATGTACCATGAATTGATCAAGTTCAGTAAATAAATCTTTACAAATAAAGCAAATTAGATCCATTGTTTAAATAAATGAATTTATATTTACAAATCGTTATACATAAATATTTATTTATTTAAATGAGTCATGTTACCAAAATATTAGTTTGAAAAAAAAGAATTAACAATATTATAAATACTAAATTTAACTATGAGAATTTAAATAGTAGATAAATCAGAAATTAATGATGTTAAGGAAGAACTTTTAACATCACACTCATTATGAATATCATAGAGAAATTTTTGTATAAATGTCCAAACTAAAACAGATTGAATGGGATACTGTAAATTGAACACTTGGAAAATTTTAAAACATGTGTCTAATGCACGAACTATGTTAGGTAATTTATAATAAGTATTGAAATAATATACATAAAAATCTTTTGTACCATCTATGTCAGCTCCAACAATGCATATGAATGGTTGTACTTTTTCTTTGTTTTTGTAAGCGTTGTCAATTTGTAATTAGCATTGAACATGTAAATCATTCAGTGAAACCACTTGTAATAAAAAAGACGTTTTGGCATTGGAAATAGATGTTTTGACTATGCGTCGTTTGTTGGTAAGAGGATTTATTTCAAATGATCTGGAAGTTAGAACCAATAGAGCATTCATTAAATCCAAAACTAAGTGATTTCTGGTTTCTACAAAAGCAAAAATAAGCATTACTTAATTGAATTAATTAAAATTATAGCTTTTAAA